ATAAGAAACCAAAATCAAATAGAAAAACACTGTTATCAATTAAACGGCGCGCATTACCACTTGTACCAGCTTATTGCATTACAACACACAAGAGTCAAGGTCAAACATTGAATAAAGTTGTAATTGATTTAAAACTGCCAAATGAAACCGATGATATTGCTGCAGTCTATGTACCCTTGTCGCGGGTAAAACGCTTGACTGACTTGGTTATTTTGCGCTATTTTGATTACAAGGTGTTGTTAATTAAACCCAGCAAGTCACAACTGACAGAAATTGAACGACTCGATAAAGTATATTTAGAGACTCAAACACGTTTTCCAGAATGGTTGTAAAGCCTTTTCTGCTTTGCATGAAAACTGCTCTCGTTGGTGTCAATTTTTATGTATGCGATTTTCGTTTCTAAATGACTTAGTGTATGGTCAATACATTTGAATGTTTTTTATTGTTTGTGTTGCATGTATTAGCAGTAGTCTCTTTTGTTATTGTCATATGAAATGATATGCGAAATATCCAGGTACTACTTTTGTGCTATATATTCATCACTTATTCCTCTTTTTCATTATAAATTTAATATCTTTGTAATTCATGATTATTTATCGAATTTCATAAATAAACAAACTCCGCTACAATACTATCTTATACTCGTAATTAAATAATTTTATGGTACTATGTGACTAGGATGGCCCATAAATTCGATAATGAAATCATGTTTCATCTTAAGCACATTTTTAGCTAATATTTTGGTATACATGTGTTCTGACTGACGTGAGACACATTTGAATTAGTCTAGGAGAACCATCTCGGATATGGCATATCCGATTCTGACAATTGAAATAATTTTTTTGCAGCTCATTACTATTGTCTCGTAGAATAATGCTTGTTTCTATTCTGAATAAGTTTTTGTTGAAAGACATATTATTTTCATATTACGCATCTCAGAGCATTTCCAGATGTTGTTACAAGTGTTATGATCTACACATTAGAATTTTACGATATATATCTTTGTATTATTTCATTGAATCAAAACGTTAGGGCGAAGTAGCACTTTTAGCTGCAGATATTACTATGATTTGAAGCTGAGCATATTTTGAAAGCCAATGATAACATTATTGTAGTAGAAGAGATTCGGTACTTTGATATTCTAAAAGTTGCCTCGGGCAAAATAGAATTGTATACCCTTGGTCTTGCTCTTGCTTTGAACTCCTCAGTCGAGGGTTAAGCGAATCGCACAGCGACGAGCGTTACTTGTAGGAATAACTTCAGAATATAACAAATTTATTCCCGTTCTAATTTTCTATCTTGACATCGCTTCTACAATTTTAATAAATAACAACTATGAATCTCACACCCGCTATTAATTCTGGGATTAAGTCGCAATTGAATTCTAATAAAATGAAAAAAACTGAGGTAAATACTATTCTTACTCTACTAAATGAAGATAAATAAAAATTTAGAAATAAATCATATTTTGTCTTCATCAACAATAATAGTCAGTAATTAGAAAAACATCGTCTGAGAATCTCTGAAATCTATGTTAAATCTTAAAAGTTACATATAGTATTCATTATCAAATATGACAAACCATTTAAATGCAATCGAAACGACAAAGAAAAACATATAAGTCAACTATCTGTAAATTCATTACTTTGTCAAACATAATTCAAAAAATATTTGGAAAAAGTTTATCCATGAAAAATTCCGATGATAGAAACCGAAATCATTTTTTCAATGAATCTCGAAGCAATATCAGATGTAAACCATAGAGGATTTGTTCAAGAAGTTTTTCATCTTGACATGATGATGGCAGAACTACTTAAATTCATTTTAAAATGAATGAATCCGTACTTAATTATCAAGTATTGTTCCCAATTGATTAAAGTCAATAAAATCAATATTATCATAATGAGATAATAAGAAAAGCAATACTAATGCATGAGTTAAATTTGAAATAATTTCTATTATATTGTATTAATAATCGAATTATTTTTGTACAAACTGGAACAGTTGAAGTATAATTTGTCTAACCAGAATGATTAAGAAATGATGTATCAGCTAACATCAGTGCAATTTGTTTAAGTGATGGTTTACGATCAGTGAATATTGTATAAACACGAAGAAAACTTTCAGCCTAAAAATAGAATTATAGAAACATTACAATCATCAAGTCTTATACGAGTATTTGCTAACAGATAACCAACACATTGATGATAACCTGTTGGTGGAGCATTAAATAAAAGTACATTGACCAAGTGGATAATTTATTGTATTTATTAAAAATTATGTTTCTACTTGTAATTGTTGTAAAAGTATTGCAATATTCATTTGATACTCATAATTTTGATTATACATTTTTTTATAGAAGCCTCACCTACATAGAACATAGTTTTATTTTGTTTTTCAGGCTGATCTAATTAATGGAGAATGATAACCTTTTAATGTGAGGTTACAAACTATTGCAACATAGAGAGAGTTAAAGTTATTCTGTTTTTCATTAATCTTTGTTTCTATTGTACGATTTTCTATCTAATCACAAAATGACTTGATGAATAGTGTCATCAACCGGAAAAGTCAACATCATTTTGGTATATATGTATGTCTTGTCTGATTTCAATTTTTAGCAGAAAAAAACTATTTTATGAAAAGGTACAATAATAAACCCTTCATCGTAGATTCACAAACCCTTCACCTTAAATTCTGGCGCAATAAACCCTTTTTATTTTCAAATACCCTTAGTTTCATAAACGCTTCAGGCAATAAACCGTTTTAGAGTTTCTGACAAAAGCATAAACCCTTTAAGGGTTTATGAAACCTTTTTTTAGTACTAGGGTTTAGTATTCTACGATTTTTTTTACAATGTAGATGAGAGCATCGAATGTTCGAGATGAGAGTTAGTACATTGGTACTATTTCGACGAGGCCATCGTGGCACCCGTCTATTTCCCCAATCACAAATTATAAGAGAATCATCATCCTTGTCAACAATCACATTTGTTGGAAAACTTAATTGATCCATACGATTTCCGTTTCCATTCCCACCCGCTACAACTTGACTATTCTTTGTATCACATTTCCATTCAACAATACGATGATTTCCCCAGTCCACAATAAAAATACTCTGATTATCGTCATCAACATAGATACCATAAGGGCAATTTAATTGATTGCCTAATGCGTGACCTCCAGTAATACTCACGCTATCTTGTATCCGTTTTGTTTTTTCTTTGGAGTGAGTTGACGGAATAGCCTTTGCTAGAAAAGCAAAACGAAGCATTCACAATAAAGAGAAAAAAGGTGACTATTTCAATTTTTGAAATTTTCAGAGATAGGGTGTGGGTGTAGGTTTGGATATGAACATGATTAGACTCGTTCTCTACTATTCTACACCCATATCATCAAGGTCTTCACTGAACGTTACTAGTGAGTTCTACGCTACTGATGAAATTGAAATAGAAGTAGTGATAGTTGATAAATTTTTGATTGACTTCATTTTTCAACCGTGATAACATTGTTACAGTATATTTTTGTACATACAATAAGCATTTTTATGTACGACACTCATTTCGAGATGATAGATTTTTCTCGATAAACTTGCTACTGAAGGTTTTAATTTCATTAATATTGGAATTGGTAGATAATTCAATTTCTTTTTTTAAATACAAGCGATTTTTGATGCCACTGAACACTCATGTTAAAGTGACCTGTCTGTGATGCTAGCTGGCCTAGATCTTCATATACACTGCTAATTAATGGATGATTTGATGGTAATTCTTTCAATAGGCTTTTAAGATATTTTTCGGCTAAATCAAATTTTCCCATTCGGCACAGTACTTTTCCTGATGTTCGAAGATTTGTTTCTCCACTTCCAATTTGTTGTTTCATATACGTAAGAACTTGTTTTAGATCATGTTCATCGTCATTACACAAAGTCATTTGAATAATCCATACTTGATTTTCATC